GGGGCCTCCTGGACCCTGGTGCTTCCGCAGGGCATGGCCAACATGTGTTTGAGTGGTCAGTGACCACGTCACGTGTTTTTAAGTATTTCAACACTCACTTTTGCATGTGATTGTCCACAACAACTCTCGAAGTAAGTTCTAGTATTGTCCCAGAATCCGGGTGAGGAACGTGTGGCTTACAGGGGTTAAGTTACCTGCCCAAGGTCACACAGAATTCAGAATCCCTGGACACAGAAGCCAAACCCAGGCCGGATCCCAGAGCTTACATCGCTGATAGCCTCTGAGGACTCCTCCACTAGCATGTGGGAGATCCATGAGGACATATTCTGGAAGGGTTTGGGGAGTGTGTGTGCTGGCAATGAGACAGCTCACAGGCACTTGTGACATGAGGATGAAGAAGAGCAGTGGAACAGGGTACGAGTTTACGCAGTCTTTACTCAGTATGCATTTGCTCCTACACCAGGCACAGTCAATGCACAACTCAACCAGGCGAGGCCCTTGGCGTCAAGGAGTTGACCATCTAATGAGGAGACTGACAGACACATAATACAGACATCTCCTGGAGGAGGGCTCTCCAGGCCTGGCGTTGGAAGGCAGCCTTGCCAGCATCCCAGGAAGCTGGGCTAGCGAGGGGCCCACAGCCCCACAGCCAGCTGGTTCCATCCCGGAAGTCCCAGATGCCAGTAGCCCAGCCACAGGGGGCTTCGGGAGCTCCTCACCAGGCCCGGGCCTGGGCTGGGGGGTCCAGCTCTTCACCTCACATCCCTGGTCCCCAGAGGCCATCCAAGGAGTGTGAGATGCCAGCCATGTGTGAAAACCCTTCAAAGTCTCCCCCAGAATCACAATCCTTAGGTTGGCAATAAGACCCCTCTCAAGTTGACTCCAAGCTGCCTCTCAGGCCAGTTTCCCCAAAGTGTAAGGCTCCTTTGTGCCCGTGTGTTCCCTCTGCCTGGGATGTGCTTCCTGTTGCCCCCTCACCTGGGTAACTCCAAGCACCCTATAACACTCAGCTCAAGCATCCCCCTTTGGGGACACCTGATCTAATTCATTTAGAGGCCCTGTCTTATGTTCCCACCATCCCCACCTCCCACCCCTGCACTGACCGCTCTGCTAGACGGCACTTACCATGCTGTTGACTAGTTTTTCTGTCTCTTCACACCAAGTCTTACATTTCTTGATGGCAACAATCTCGTTATAATCAGAATTTGTATCCTTAACACACAGCAAAATGCTGGACCCATGGTGAGTGTTCACTAAGTATCTGGTAAATGAATGAACAAATGAAATAACCCCTTGTCCCTTCTGTTTACACACTGAGAATACACTTTCAGGTGTCCGGGGTAAAAAAATTAAAAAGTCTTCTATCCATCATTTTCATTACAGTAAGAAAGAATGACTATGTCCCTTTTCCCAAGGGGATTTGCATTTCAAATTGCTATGGTTTGAATGTTTGAGTCCCCTCCAAAATTCATAGGTTAAAATTTAATCCCAAATGCAACAGTGTTGTGAGGTGGGGCCTTTAGGAAGGTGTTTGGGTCATGAGGGCTCATGAATAGATTAATGCCATTATAAAAGGGCTTGATGGAGGGAGTTTGCTCGCTCCTGCCCTTCCACCTTCTACACCATGAGAAGACACGGCGTTCCTCTCCTCTGGAGGATCAGCAGGAGGGCCCTTGCCAGATGCCAGTACTTGATCTTGGACTTCCCAGCCTCCAGAACTGTGAGAAATAAATTTTTGTTGATTATAAATTACCCAGTCTCAGGTACTCTCTCACAGAAGCACCAAATGAACTAAGACAGAAATCTTCAAGTTTTCCCTTATTTTAAGGAATTTCTGCTATCAGTGAGTTGGTGGCAGAGGGTGTTTGGGGAGAGTCTTCTCAACCCAGATGGAATCAAGTGCAGTGGTGGTCACCACGAGATAGCTCTACAAAGCTTGCCCTGTAACATCTCCCCGATAGAGCTGGCAGACCCCTGAGTCCCAGAGCCACAGAAAGGGCAAACCCTAGCCCCTTAGACCAGGAAAGAAGTACTGTGTAGCGGGATGAGCCAGGATTTGAAGTCAGGATGCCTAGCATTCCCGTAGTGGGCAATTCGCAACCTTTTCTCTGAGCCTCCCTATACTCATTTGTAATATGAGACACCCATCAGCTGACATGAGGAGCATCTGCTGTCAGAGAGCTTTGCATGCAGCACCCACATGAGATGCTCTGTAGGCTCCACTGCCCTCTGCAGAGAGGGGAAAGTTTCCACACAGCAGGCTCTAGCCCCAGGACACAGCGAGCCTAGTGACGGATGCCATTCTCAAACCATCTGTTGTCAGGAGCCAGCAGCCAGCGTGCTCTGGGTTCACATGGTACCTTAGAGTCAAGTTCAGGGGTGGAGAACCTACGGCCTCAAGGCCACATGTGGCCCTCCGGATCCCCAAGTACGGACCCTCAACCAAATCCAAACTTCACAGAGCAAATCCCTTTATAAAAAGGATTTGTTCTGTAAAATCTGGATTCAGTCAAAAGGCCACACTCAAGGATCTAGAAGGCCACGTGTGTCACTCTCCTGGACACTGTCATTCTCCTGTAGTTTTTGAGGGGAAGAGAATATTCTCCACTTCGACTCTCACCCCCTCCCTCCCTCCTCCTGCTTTCCAACCCCCACTCCCACGTCACTCTGTGTGCCCAAGGTCGTCAGGCAGATGCCCTGACCGAAGCCAGGTTGATCAAAAGTGCTGCTTGTTCCTGAAATGATGGGGCAGAGGTGGTGAAGGGCCTGACAGGATCCAGACCTCACAGGACTCACTCCGCGACGTCCATCACCACAGCCAGGCCCTCCTCCTCCCCGCTCCAGCTCTGCTCTGGCCTCCCACTCCCCTCTCGCCTGGCTCTGTGCTGGGCAGTGCACACTGTCAGAGCCTTACAGCCGTCTTGCTGGATGCAAAAATTAGAGAATGTTGTAGTACTTCACCCTCCATCTCCAAAGAAAAGTCTGTCATCCAAATCCTCCCAACCTTCCCAAACTGAACACTCACACCACAAGATGAAGGTCATTTTCAAGGTGGTAAAGTGAAGTGAGCATCAGTGGGACGATGCCACATTAAGGACTTTTTTTTTTCCTTCCTAAAAGCCGCCTACTTTTTCCCTTTCTAGTATTTGCTACAAAAACAGTAGCTCCTGTGCCATTTGACTTTTTTCCAGGACATTGCATTAAGTCAGGAGATTCTTTTCTCCTTTTTTTTTCCTGAATCAGCCCAACCTAATTGGTTCGTCACTAATTATTTGTTTCCCATGTAGATATTTTTTTCTCATGTCCTCACTGATCTCCAGCTAATAAGCTTTCAAGTGACACGACCCACACAGTTGAGAAGTTGTGGAAGCTGTTTACAAGAGAAGTCACCTCTTCTTTCTGTGAAGGGACTACCTGCTGCATCCCTCATTCTGGATTCACGGTGCAACAGCCCTATCCCCACCCCAGGTCTGGCAATGAACCTCAGAATTCCTGTGGGGGTGCAGCCAGCACAGCGCACAGAGTGTGGTGAAGGTTACCATTCTAGCTTATTAATTTGCCTGACTACCACTCGGGAGATGAAGAAATAAAGGGAATAAAAGCATATTCATCATCTTCATTGAGCTGTGGGATGAAATACTTATTTTGGAAATAATGGTTCCAGGTAGGAGGGCAGTGAAAAATGAGGCCCGTGAGAAGCGAATGTTTTATTACACAATTTCTAAAATGTGAGCACTTAGTACTCTTTCATTATCATACATTATTACAGTTCTATAAAAATCATTTCCAGGAAATCAATGCCAAAGTTTTGAAGCCTCCCAAAAAGAGCTAGAAGGCAAAGTTGAGAAAAAGCCCTTTAAATAGAGAAATTAGACTTTCGACTTTGTGTATTAAGATTTACTATGGCAATATCCACACTCAGACGTGGTCAGCCCCACGTGAACAACACAGTGACGGGGAATTTGTGGAGCTCCTCTTGTGCCACAACTTCAAAAGATTGCAATAGTTTTAGAAAGGTTATGACCTTCCTGTTTTTCAGATGGGAAAACTGAAGCCCGGAAAGTGTAAGTGGAGTTGCTGTCAGTGAAAGCCAGCGAGGCAGTGACGGTGCAGAAAAAAAATCCATCTGTTTGGATTTACAACTCTACCACCTCTTCATTTGCTGCACGGCCGGTTTGGAGCACATCTTCACCCAGCCCTGCTCAGGCTCTAGTATTTCCACTCCCTTCATTGGAATCCAGCTTTCCGTTCCAAGGAGTGCATCAACTTGCTGTATAATTTGCTGATCACGCTGGCGCAGAAACATTGGGAGGCTTTCGACTCCTGCTCTCTCATGGGGATCAAGACCTGCAAAGTCGTCAGGGAAACCACATGGCCAGCCTGCAGCCTTAAGGAACATCCCGATGCCTAAGGAAAACCACTCGGTCCATCTGAGCTTCCAAATGTCACCCCACTGAGGTAAAGCCAGTGGAGCAACCCATAAATCCACCTTGGGTGGTGATGACGCTTTCATATGTGTATAGACCCTGACAGCTACAAGCAATGCATGGACTCCTCTCACTTTATCGTCGTAAGAAGTTCATAAACAAGATATTCCTAGCACAGAGCTTCTTGCATTCTAACATAAACAGGAATCACCTGGGGATTTGTAAAAATGCAGATTCTGATTCAGTAGGTCTGGGGTGGGGCAGCCTGAGGCTCCACATTTCTAAAAAGCCCCCAGATGATGTTGATTCTGCTGCTCTAAGGACCATACTTTGAACAGTGAAACCCTAAAGCACAGTTTGGAAACTGCAGTTCTAAGGATTGAAAAGGCAGTAGCAATGGGTAGTTCACCCATGATGGGGCTCAAATGGAGTATTAGCCAGCTGAAGACATCTCCTACATTACTGTTTTATTAACACCTGACAGGATTACAGGGTGTTCCACACAGGGGAAAACACCTCTGGAGAACATGTTCTGATGGAGCCCAGGAAAGGAGTGAAACAAGATTAACTCACGGGAGAAGCGGGCAAGTGGTCTGGCATTCTTGTCTCCAGCTTCATTTGCAACTGGAAAAAAAAAAACAGGATGTAATTAAAAACAAGGCCGGTGTGTCCGCATACGTGTCCAATCTACAGCCAATCTTCTGGATGTTTTGACATTACGCTATATTTGAGAGTCTTTGTAAGTGGATAAAAGCAGCTTTACTCTCTCTCCTTCTATATTTCTAAGGCTGCTCTCAACACCTAAACGAGGTCAAATGTCTGAATCATTCTGATTAAACATTCAGATAAAGCTAGAGAGGACCTAAACGACACTCAATTTAATACGCCTAGAGAAGTTAACTCGTTTACACCCACTTAGTAAGAGGCACGTGCACCAGATTTCCAAACTAGTGAATGTCCTTCACCTTCAGGATTCTTCCAACGGGAATGACCTTGAACATGAAATGCACTCCCAGCACCGGAATGTGTCTGGTTTTCTGGGATCCATATGGGGCAAAGCCAAGGCAGGGATTTCAGACGATAACAACAAAGTTGGTTTTTGGTATGAAAGATACTAAACGGAGATGCTAAGAAACAGAGGAGTTCATAAAGGGGGAGTCAGAGAACTGCCCAAGAAAACCCTACCCCTAAAGCTTCTCTGGAGGGCAGTTTACCTCCTTTGAAAAACCTCTATAATAATATAATTTATCATCATGCAGATAGAGTCATAACATCCCCTATAATTTATGAACCTATCTTCATGGGTAAAAAAGAGATCAGTTATTAAGCAGAAACACAACTTTCGCTCACTTTAAATATCACATTTCATGACCATAAATTTAGATTATACCTTGGTTGTTTTGTGTATGCATAGTAGACAGATATTTGTGATCTACTTGAATGAACATCCAAAACAATCAACAGGAAAAACCTGCTCATGTTAGCTCAGAAGAAACAGTCAATTCATAGGCAGAATAAAGGAGATTGCTAACGTAACCATCAACGTAGGAGAAGTGGCCACAAGAGGACAGAAGAAATACAGTAACTACTTCCTGAACTTATTACATCATTTTGCGAAGAATTAAAGGAGTCAGAAAATTCCTTTCATTCTCTCACAAAGGTAAACATTTAAAAATTCACTAAATTTGGACAATTTTTAAAAATGAATGGATTCAACCTCAGTCTCTTTTGTATTTCTGGCATTAGCGTTGCCTCACTGTTTCCAGTCTGTGCATTAACAAACAAGACATTATGCAAAAACGACCAGCAGGGGGAGGTAATATTGCATCCAGCTCCCATCGTCTCTCATATCACAGGATTTCAAAAAAAATAAAGAAATCAAAAAATTACTAGACTCTGTACAAATAAATTTTAAATGAAAAGATTGCCAACTCAAAAATGGGTCTGGAAGTTCTAAGAGCAATGGGTATTTTCTTGCTGTCTTCTAAAATCTTTTATAGAGCCATCACATGAACATAAAGAATTCACATTCATATTCCTGCCTCTAAGCAGAGTTACTTTAAAATATTTCAGAACAATAGCCTACTATCTCAGAAGTCTTTAAGCACAGTTTCATATCCTCACATCAGGAAGATATGGATAGTATCCTAGCTAAGTATGAGAGACATTACTTTTATGAGCACTTGGAAAACTTAGAAAACCAAAGTTGTCATACAACCAAAAAAGGAAGAAAAGAGAGAGAGTAAGGGAGGAAGGAGGAGTGAGCCCCAGTTAGGTACAGACATGAATTTCCCTGGCCCTTGAGTTCAAATTGTTTCCTCTTTAGACATCACAGATCTCTGAAGGAAGACATGGAGCCAGGTTCTTTCCAAAACATTTGCTGCAGAAACCGATGGGCCACTCTTAAAGTGGGATTACAAAGACCACTGCAGTTGCTGAGAACATGAGCAAGCTCCTAAATGCTCAACTTGGAGAGTGCACATTCTCCCAGGGACAAGAAAAGAGGAACAGGGACACCAGTGTCGCTTTTGCGCATGCAGCAACAGCTGCGTCCTCACTCAGCCTGGGACCTTCCTGCCCGCCACCCTATCCAAGGATGGGAATTGCTGAGCCAGATGTGAGTCATGCCAGGAGAGGCAGGAATCAAGATACAGGCCAGCGGGGTACACCAGGAGAGTTGCCTCTACCCAGAAGGAATCTGAACCCCGCTACGAGCATGATTTCCCTACACACAGACCCAATGCCACACTCCCCTGCTGAAAGGTCTCCAAGGACGCCCAAGCCCTACAAGACAGAATCCAGCTCACTTGGCATGGTATTGAAAGTTGGCCCCAACGCATTCTTCCACTAGTTTCCCAGAGCATCTTTCAGCACTCACTCACAGGCACTAAATGGGCCACCCCCAAACAAGCCCTTCACACACTGTCCCCTCCTCACTCCAGCTCCTGCTGCCCCCCTCCCTGGGACACCTCTCTCACGTCTTCTGGCCAACTCCTACTCATCCTTTAAGGTTCAGGTGGAGCCGTTCACTTCAGAGAAGCCTCCTTGCCTCAAACCACACCTTCTCTGTGTCATAGATCTCTGCCCACACACCTCTTCCAGGCCCACGGTTCTCCAGCTTCGGCAGACATCACCACTAGGAAGGATTGTTAAGATATGGATGGCAGGACTTTAAAATACAACTTCTGATTCGGTGGGTCTGGTGTGAGACCCAAGAATCTGCATTTCTGAAACATTCCAGGTAATCCAGCAGATGCTGGCCTGGGGTCCATAAGCTACCCCACCTAAAGCAAGGATCATAACTTTTCATCTTTATATTTCTACTCTTTTGAACAGTGACTGCCCCACAGAATGAGGCATTCGGTCAGTATTTTTAGAACTGAAGTAGACTGAAGAGATACAAACTGCCACAGATGGCTTAGCAGACCAGAGATCAGACTGTCTTCCAGAAGACTGGAGAAAGCCCCAGATGTGTTTTGTTTGGTTCCACAATGCTTTTAATTTTTAAACAATTGGTTGCCTACATTTAAAAATCAAGAGATTTGAGATATAAATAAATAGATATTGCCAGCTTCTTTCAAATAACAGGGGAGAGTGGAACACGAGGCCTCTGGTCCCACAGGACACAATGGGTCGACACTGAGATGCCCCCTCCGGGTGGCTCCACCTCCCGCACATTCAGGATGCAGCTCTCTGCTGACTATTGCTGGACTGTCTATACACTCTGTGGGGTCCAGAAGGCACGTGACATCAGGACTTCTTAAAGAGCGTAAACAATGAAACTAAACCTCAACAGAGACCAGCACTACAAAAAGTGGCTGTAGCTTGGCTTGCTAAGCCCTTCTGTCCCCAGCCCACAACTTCCCAGACATTTCTGGTGGTCCACTGGCATGCTGCAGGCCTGCTCAGACACACCCAGGCATCTCCACCAGCAGAGGAGCCTTTGAACACTGCCGTTTGCCTTGCCTTTTAAAAAATGAAAAGCTTTCGCAATAACATAGGCGTTCCATTTATCAGATGCAATTAGAGCTTGAATTTGGTGAGATCTTACAGAAACCATTACGTACATTTATGTAAAGTTATCCATGCTATACTGTTGCACAAAATGTAAGGTCCAGATCAGTATGTATAATGGATTCTATCAATGTTGAGTTGCATGAGACGCCATCTCTATAAAAATTTTTTTTTAATTAGCCAGGCGTGGTGACATATGCCTGTAGTCCCAGCTACTCATGAGGCTGAGGCAGGAGGATCGCTTGAGCCCAGGAGTTCGAGGCTGCAGTGAAGTATGACCACACCACTGCACTCCAGCCTCGGTGACAGAGCAACATCCTGTCTCTTAAAAAACATGTTGAGTTGCATGTCTAGGCTACACGTGTATATAGGCAGAGAGGGATGAAAGGAAGGGTGTTCAGATATATTAACAGTTATTCTGTGTGGTGGCATTTGGGAAAAATTTTTTGTACTTTTCTGCATAAACTCAATAGTTTATGATAAGGGTGCGCTGTGTTTATAATCAGGAAAATGTTTTTATTAAAGGATAGAAAACAAATGGCTAGTGCTCTTTTTCAAAATATATTATTTTGGATACATGTTACATATATATTGTATGTTTCAGATTCAGATTTAAGAGCAGTCCTGGATCACAGAATCCAGGGCACCTGCCATCTCTAGTCCAAGGGGACTCCCTGTAAGACTCAGGAAGTATGTCTCTCACCGCCCTCTCCAGGAGGTTCCACACATCCCCTGTCAGTGGTTTGCAGTCCTAGATGCACATTAGAATCACCTGGGGAACTTTACAAAATCCTGATGCCCCAGCCACATCCCAGACCAGGTAAACCAGGCCCCTGGAGGTAGGACCCAAGCATCAGTATTTTCTAAGTCCCCAGGTGACTCCAGTGAGCAGCCAAGGCAGGGAAACACTAATAAAGGGTGTAACTTCATACATCTTTAGCAAAGCAACGTTCAGGGAGGAGGGTGTGGCTCGGATCTCTTCAAAAATAATTACCCCTATTCGGTTCTTCTTTTCAGGATGCTACTGTTTTGTCGAAATCCTGAATAGAGGCATGCCTCTGCTTTTAGAAAAACTCAACCGTTAAGATGGCAAACTTAACTTCAGAGACCAATTAGTGGCAACTCTTCACATCATGAAGCGTTCTTTATAAAAGGATTCACCTCACATCGCCACCAAACGTCAACGTGTGTGTACTGAGCACCATCTGGGTGCTCAGCACTGCACTGGACTCTGGGAGGAGGGTTTCCAGGGTGGATTTCCCCCAGCCTGACACACAGGCCAAGTTCGGGGGCAAACTGCGCCTCTCAATCTGGGTTTATCCAAGTGTGATCAGCTGAGGAACTGACTTGATGATGAGGTTGATGACGATGCAGCAGATTCCTTGGTCCCACCCCAGATCCACTGAGTCAGAGTCCCTGCAAGTGGGGACAGGGCTCTAGTTAAACAATTGCCTCGGATGCCATTTAGGTGCACTTATGTCTGAGAAGCAGCACTCTAAAGGCAGTGTTCCCTTCTGTGTTGGCTCTGTTTTCCCTCCCCAAAACTGGCCAGAAAAAAATCTCTAAGTAAGGACTTGCTGTGGAGACCAGTGGGAGGAAGGCAAGTGGGA